ACTTTAAAAATGCATAGAATGCTTAGCTATCTGATTCTATCACAGACCAATGATCTGTCCAATATCTTTCTTTTCCTTTTGAATGCCATACTTCATGAATGTGTATATCATCTGTAAAACGCCCCCCCTGTAATAAAATGGAATTAATACACTTCACCTCTTTGCAATTCATTGGACCTCGATTTGGGCAGAAGTGGACTGCCTGAGATTAGTGAGTGTCACACTCTGAGGATTAAGATGCAATTTAAATTCAACTCCTTTCTAAACTGAAATAACAGTTGAACTTGTTACTATCCAGGTAACTATCCAGCACTCATGTCAAGCAGCTCTATGTATGTCTAAACCTGCCCCGGTCTTAAGCGTAACACTAAAACTCTAATGCTATTCTTAAAATATCATGTAATACAAAAGATACATAATGGCAAAGTGTTTATTGGGGTGAAAGTAATATCATATTTGGGTATGGAGACATTTTTAAACTACTCAACCTTTGGTGTCATGGTTTATTAGTAATTACTCGAACTCCCTGGTGGTAATACTTTTTTCCACGTGTATGAGAAGTGATTTAGGGTGAGTTAGGAGTTTCTTACTCACCCACTCAAACCTGTATTAAACCATATAATGCATCATGGACTGAGAGTGTAGGGGGCAACACCATAGATCCATTCCTGTTTAATAAAAGGCTCAGGGAATTAAAATTTATTTTTCATTATTACTTGTATTTTCTAAACTATTTTCCCACCGAACAACTTTGCTGTTTTGTTGCAAAATGCAAAAAGCAAGGACAGAAAACGTAGTTTTGCACTGACTATCTGAATTGTTGGAGAGCCCAATATTAAAGAGACAAGCATCACTTTTAGACAACTGTCTCGCTCAAAAGCTTTAGCTTTGAATGAGACAGTTGCCTTACTCTGCAGGCTATAAAAAACAGGTAAGTGGTGCATGTCCATTTAATATAAATGTTTGATTTTGTATACTAATGATGTTATACAGATTCGTAGCAGAACAAATTCATTTTGCGAGCACTTAATAGCAATTTCTAAACTTGACTCCAAATTCCCTTTAGTAAATAACAAATTGCATGTGTGGCTCAAATTCAAGTATTTTAGATTTTTTTTCAATTCATAGATGTATTAATATGCCTGTATGTCAGTTGTATGGCATTGACTAGATATGCGTACAAATGCCTTTCAGCTACATTGAACTAATCAAATGCCTGTCAATCTATGGATGAATGAACAGATTTGTTCAGCTTTTGCCCTACAAATTGATTTTTTTTTTGTCCATTGATTGACAGATATTTGATTCGTTCAACGCACAAGTGTAACACTGACTACCAGTACACATGATGAACAAATGAGTGTCCTTTAACATGAAGACCCCTGCCTTCCTATAAAATGATTCTGTCTCGACTCCACCAGTGCCGTTGCCACAACACCTGTAATGCTCAGTCAATGCTCAAATATTTGAGTTTTCACTACATATATTACTAGGTGGAGACTCTCTAACATTCAATGCACTGTTTTGTACACTGATCTGAAAAAAAATCTAAATGCAATATTTTCATTGATGGTTTTGTTATCCTGTTATTTATAAATTAAACTATCTGTGTTCTGGTGAACAAGAATATAAAAAACAAGCTTTAAATATCTCTGCAGTGCATAATGGTGTTTAATGCACCATTAAGGCACTGAAGATCAATCAATATATGGTAATTTATATCCTTCCTCAGAGAAAAATATAACCTTATAAACTCTTCTAAAAATGCAACTGTTGGTTTTCTTCTGTTTGTTTTTTACACTGGTCTACGAGGTCTGCCCAGAAACTATCCAGCCATGTAATATGAAAAATAGAGATATTTATTGGGAAAGATATAAGAAACATTGTACATAAGACAATGGCGTCTCAGTCCCTTTCAAAGTAGGCAGTTTGGGACCTCACATAGTTCTGCCAGCATCTCTTCCACTGTTCAAAACACCCAGCAAAATCCTTTGTTGGAATCGCCACCAGCTGCATCATTGTATTTTGTGGGTATGAGGGTTACCTTCTGTTGGGCCGCTGCCTACTACACTTCTATTTTTATTAGCACTGACCCTTTTCTGTTTTTCTCATCATATTTACCTGAATCTCTATGGTCTAAAATCCCTTTCAAAGGTGATTTAAGTTTTGCGAAAATCCAGAAGTCGGAGGGTACCAAATCGTTCAACAGAATATTTACTATCTTTGAAACGTTTGTGCCTCACTTTAATTTGTGCTACACTCATTGCATTGTCTCCGACAGACTTCTGAATCATCTGAATAGTTTCCACGGAGCAATGTTCAAGCTTAACATAAAATTTGATGCAGATTCGTTGCTCTACTCGCTCAGTTATTTTGAATGCAACAGCCACAGTATACACATACTCTCTCAACAACATTGAGCCCCCCCCCCCCCACTGACTCGTACAGTGAAGTCATCATTTTTCATACATGCACATTCCAGTCCACTCTCCTTGGCTGCCAGGCTACCCTGATGTCGTTCAAACCGTTCTCATATTAACAATTGCTGGACTTTTTCCTGACAGACCTCGTATACAGTGTATACTGTGTAAAATCATTTGACTGCAAATAGTTATATCTCGCTCACTTGCCTGAGCACTGCTCACCGAAAAGAAGTTAATGTGACCCAAAACCCTGCAGACTTCAGACCTCTCACTTAAGAACAAATCTAACAACAGATAGCTAGAGAAAGCTATTTATATAAACACAAAATATTTATTTTAAAATATGCATATATGCTTTCATTAAAATGTAACTCTTCAAGACATCATCCAGGGCACACTGCAATATTGTCTTTCAGTTACACCTGCCCAGTAGACTAGAATAACCTGCTTTGGGTATCTCTTTAACTCACATTGTAGTGTCGTCAGTCAAAATTAAAATTCCTGACTGAGAGTGTTTGCTTCAATGACTCACATTCCCATGCTGCATTCATTAAAAATGCCATGTAGTGGCCCACACAAGAGTAGTCCTGTTCCAGCTACGTAAATATGTCATCTTGGGTGGTGGCAGTTGGTAATAGAAGCAAATACTCTATGGCAAACAAGAAAATTCAGCAATTTTATACCTATGTCATGCTAACGTTTGAACTGCAGAGAACTGAATGACGAATGGTAAAATTTAGACAACAATATGCAAGCTGTGACTGTGGCTTGATTGGAGAATTTTTCAGTAGATAAATAAAACCCTAGGTACCTTAGATAAAATTCTTCTGATGGATTTCTTTAAAATGCAAAACTGCAAAAAGTATTACAAATGGCTCAAAAACGACATTATGAAATTGGCAATACCCACTATAACATTACAGATAAAGCACAAAGCCAGTGCTGTCTTGACTTATTGAAGGTTTAATGTTGAGACAGTTATTAAAAAATGTATTTTCTTATGTAAAGTTCTGTTTGTACCATAATACGTCATCTTTGTTATTTACCTGAATATATGGATAAAAAGCAATGCATATATTAATAAATACCAATTTCCATGTTCACTGTAATTATTCACATCATTTATCACTCATGCTTTAAGTTGATTCTTTCTATGCATTCTCTGTTCTTGTACAACAGATCTGAATAGAGATGACTAAGGTACCCTTTTACTATGGTATTTTATTGATTTCATGTACCCAATAAGATTGCATCTAATAACATTACAATTAGTAACTTGATTTTTTTTCTTTAGTAGAATAATTTGCTCGTATGTCACATCATGCTGGCCAGAGAAAGATTAATATGAATTTCTAAAAATTCCTTTGCAATGTCCTACTGTCTAATCATTTACATTACTCTGCAGTGAAGCAGGTAATAGTATTTTAATCGGTATATGTAGTAGAAATGGATGTGTCAGTTGCAGTCAGTTGAAATCTTGTAATAAATCATGACAATGATTCTCATGGAAAATAAATGTGTGGAAATTATTTAAGTATAAAACACTAGGGGGCAACAAAGTCTAAGTATAATTTGACTCTGATGGAAATGCAAACCAAACCATACAGTAAAATAAAATTACTGATATACTTGAAATTACTTTAAAATCGTGTTTGCAGGAATATGTATAGAGATGTCTGATCCAGACTTGAAGATTGACTTTATCCCAAACTGCTATATGTCCTACGTTTGGGTGAATATTTGAATTTCCAAACTCAAGCCAAAATTTTGCCAAATCACAAACCAAATGAAACGTATATTGGATTAGCAAGTGTTTTTTTTTTTTTCTCACATTTTGATTTCTGCCCTTTACACCGAAAAAAAAGATGTAATTGACAGGAAAAAAAAAAAAAGATATCGATAGCTAAGATATTTTCTTTGTAAAACAAGGACATAAAGCAATAAAGTATAGTATAAGCTAGAAGTTGGCTAGCTATACTAAGAAGCTTATGCTATAACAATATTCATGGTATAACGTGCAATGGGTAGTAGTGAGTAAGGAGTATCACAAGCAAATATTTTTGTACAATTGTCAAGAGTATGGGAACATGAGTAGGATTATTATTTGTACAAGTTGGGTTGTCACTCTTTTTATAATATAACATGCTGTTTATATAGCTAGAAACATGCTAGGTCAAACAAGAAGGGATGAATCATGCTTGAGTAGGGAAACATCTGAATAGAGACCACCCTTGGTTGCGCTAGCGTAATATCTCAGCTTGTAGCCTTATTCATCTTGAGTGTGCTAATGTATGTAATAAAAAAGTTAAACAGAAATAGTTAACTGAACTTAAAAGCAGGATCTATTGAGAACAAGTTGCCATGGCAGCCAGCTGACTAAGATAGAGCAGGGAAAGGGAGGCTCAGCATGGGGGTCAGCCCATTCCCATTATAGGGAATTTACAGTCCAACTCGGAGTGGATCAATGCCAGAGGTGAAAGCCTGAGGTCTTGTGGCTTGTGTTGCCTTCTCAGCTCTCCCATATTCCTCTCCTCTGTAATGCCTGTTCTGGGTATAGCCTGCTTCGGGCCTTTCCAGCTAACTGCTCACCTTGTGGAGTGCTGATGCGGTCTTTGCCACAGTAGGTGTGTTCGGCTCATAGGAGAAGTCACTGTGCGACACAGGGTGCAAGAGAACTGCTTTGCAGGAATTTCCACACTTGCAGATGAGATCGACTTGTCCTTGCAGCTTGCTCCAGAAGGTGTCAAATAGGGTCTTCAAGCGCTGGTCAATAGATAGCAGCTCAGCACCAGGATTAAGGGTACTCGTGGCATCTGCCATCTTAGGTGTGTTGCCGCTGGTCACACTGGCATCTGCAGCACAACCATGTCTTCTTGATGGGGCTTGAAAGCCACCAGGGTGGTGTCCGGGATCACCCCCACTGGTTCAAAGGGGAGGGCAGCGGGATGTCAAGAACCTTTTCTGGACCCTGCCAGTGCAGTACCGGGAGATCGACCGCCTCTCCCTTCTCACTGGAGCCAGGTGCGCAAAATGGTTCTGAGGACCCTGCATGGTCTGAGAGCTGAAGTAGTAAAGAATATATAGTATGTGTGTACAGAACTACTAGGACAGCTACAGCTATAGTAAGCGGTTTGTTTAGTGTGTCTCAGGGAGCTTTCCAGAGACACATCTAGGCACCATGATGGTCAGGCCTCATCCCCCCTGATTGGCACATGTTTTAGCCTATTAGTTCATCTAATTAATTTCCAGCATCTGTAACAGAACTGGAACCACCATATATCTGAATTCAGCCATCCCAATTTTTATTTTTGGGCCAAGTGGTTAGGCGAAAATATTTTTTTTCACAATGCAGAAGTCTAGTCCCCATAAGCTATGGAAAAGACTACTGGTGAAGCAAAGGATGGACTGAAGGTGGGCAATATAAAAGTGTAACACCCACCTCTGTAAGGATATGGCAGCACTGGAGAAAGAGAGTAAGGCTAGTCCTTGATAGTTTCCCTTTCTTGCAAATATAACTGAGCAGAGGAGGCTCAGTTATGTGAATGTTTTCTCACTGTGCACAAGTCTAGTTCAAACTTAAAGCATTGTTGTAGAGTCAAATTTTCAAAATGTAAACGAGTTTTAAAAAAAATTGTTCCTGGGAAGAAAAAAAATAAACTATAGACTGATATTGTTTAGGGACATTCATTTAATATCAAAGAGCCTCCTCCTTATGAAGAGTTTCTTGATGCCTTTTAGACAAAAAAATGTGTCTGGGTAGACAGTGGTGGCTAGCTGTAGGAAGGGACAAATATGCGAGGTGTTCAGTCTATATAATGACTAGCATTTCAGTGTGAAGGCAGTGAAATAATAAAGGGAATTATAACTTCTCTGGAAATTACACTGTTGAATGGAACACTTAAAATTAACTATAATTTAAGGTAAGCTTTGTTCATATGGTGCCTAGAGAGATATTGGTTATACTTCACTCACTGATGATGCCTAACATGATTGACATGATCATCGGGGGTTTTTGTATTTCTTGTGCAGATAGAGCCGGCCTGCATTTTGGATCTGTTCTGTCCTTTTGGCTGCATTAGTCTGATATGACCTTGGCCCTGGCTTTTTGTAATAGCAAAAGATGAGCTAAAAACCAGCTTGAGATCTTAGCGGAGACCCACCTAAGTGCAGGCTATTTGAACTGTTGTCCATTCTCAGTACTCTCTTGCACCCAGTTTTTTGCTCTCCCTAAGTTTAAATGGTAATCCAGATGTGGACCCCTTGCTCACAGTGCCTAGAGAAATATTGGCTATACCTCACTGACGATGCCTAACAAGGTTGAAACAATCATCTGGGTTGCTGTATCACTCGTGCTGAGAGAGCCGGCCTGCATTCTGGATCTGTCCAGCCCTTTTGGGTGGAGTGAGTCTAATATGCAAATGGCCTGGTTATTTTTTTAATGGCAGAGGATGAGCTAAAACCAGCTTAAGATCTGAGCGGAAACCCACCGAAGAGCAGGCTAATTCAACTAGTGTCCATTCTCAGTATTCTTTTGCACCCTGTTTTTTCATATGATGCACAATTTTATTTTAGTTTAGATTAAAAATGTAGCACATTATGTCACAATCCAGTTCAGACCAAGCACAACCAGGGCATACATTCCATATAAGGAAGTAAAACATGAACATTCTTTAACCCCTTAAGGACCGGCCTGTTTTTGCGATGTTGTACGTTAAGGACCAGAGCAGTTTTGACACTTTTGTGGTGTTTGTGTTTAGCTGTAATATTCCTCTCTCTCATTTACTGTTCCCATACAAGTTATATATTGTTTTTTTCAGGACAAGAAGGGCGTTCTTTACATACCGTTATTTGTATCATGGCATGTATTTTATTTAAAAAAATAAAATAAAATATGGTGAAAAACTGAAAAAAAACATGTTTTTGGACTTTTACTTTAAAAATCTTTACTTATCTACAAAAGCTAATGAAAAAACTGCTAAATAGATTCAAAATGTTGTCCTGCGTTTAAAAACACCCATTTTTTTTTTGCAAGTTATAAGCCTATAAATAGAAGTAGGAAATTGCTGTTTCAATATATATATATATATATATTTTAAATTTATCAATAGTGACATTGTAACACCGTTATCTGTCATAAATCCCTGAATCACAACTCACATGTACATATTTTTTTTAAAGTAGACAACCCAGGGTATTCAATATGGGGTATGTCCAGCCTTTTTTAGTAGCCACCTAGTCACAAACACTGGCCAATGTTAGCATTTCTATTTGTTTGTGTGTTAAAAATGCAAAAAACGCTAACTTTGGCCAGTGTTTGTGACTAAGTGGCTACTAAAAAAGGCTGAAAATACCCATTTGCAATACCTTGGGTTGTCTTCTTTTGCAAATGGTATGCCATCATGGGGATAATTCTCATTCCTGGGCTACCATACGCTCTCAAAGGCAACCTAACCAATCTGACAAATTTCAATAAAAAAAAAAAAAGAAGTAAAATCAAGCCTTATATTTGACCCTGTAACTTTCACAAACACTGTAAAACCTCTACATGTGGGGTACTGTTATACTCAGGAGACTTTGCTGAACACAAATATTAATGTATCAGAACAGTAAAATGTATCACAGCAATAACATCATCCGTGAAAATGCTGTTTGTGTGTGAAAAATGCAAAAAACTTCACTTTCAACTCTCAAGGAAGATACCTATTCCTCAAGGGCATCATAGCGGATAGGATATATACAATAGCAACTTTTTACGTGCCCTACCAAAGGCAAGCACCCTTCCTCCGAAACACCCTGCATCAACTGGAAGAATTTACGGATGTGATACTACTGATAGGAGGTGACTTTAATGCCCCGCTTGACCCAACACTAGACTCATCTACGGGTCATATCTGTCTTCCGCAGCGTAGCATCAGAACCATCCGGCAGTCGATCGAATGCCTGAGACTGGTAGATTGCTGAAGAACGCTTCACCCCACGGTAAAAGACTTCACTTACTACTCTGCTCTCCACAATCGCTATTCTCGCATAGATTACCTCTTCATCACACAGGAAGGTCTCTCCCGCCTACTCAAAGCCGAGATCACACCGGCTACATGGTCGGACCACGGTTCGGTCGAGATGGAACTGGAGTCTCTACTATTCAGGCCGGCAGCCTGGACCTGGAGACTTAATGAGGCATTGTTACTAGACCCTGATACCAAAGACCAAATTAATCAGGCGTTGGAGCATTACTTCAGAGAAAATGAAACCCCGGGGACCTCACCGATATCTATATGGGAAGCTCACAAGAGTGTTATCCGTGGTACACTCATACGCATTGCCTCTCAGAAACAGAAGGCAATTATGCTTGAGATGGCCGATCTATATCATTCAATCTCGACCCTTGAGCGTCAACATAAGCGATCCCAGCTAAATTAAGTCTACGGAGAATTTATGGAACACAGAAGAAAACTCAAAGACCTCATTATGAAAAGACATCTACGAACCATACAGCACACGAAAGGCTTCTTTTATGTACACGCTAACAAAGGAGGAAAATATCTTGCGAGACTACTGAAAGGCCCCATGCCCCGTAAGCAAATACGTAAAATACGTCTAGCCTCGGGGAGGTAACCCCCTTCCCACAGAAGATCGCGGAGGAGTTTAGGACTTTCTACGAGAACCTCTATAATCTCTACACGCCTGATGGGTATATCGGGACCACGAGGGACCACACGAGGATACAGGATTACCTGTCCAACACGATCATAAGCAAGATCGACCAGGACTCAGCGTCAACCCTGGACACGCCAATAAGTACAGAGGAACTAGCAATGGCCCTCAAAGCATCCAAAACTGGTAAGGCTCCCGGCCCAGACGGCTTCTCCACGGGATACTATAAAAACTTCTCTGGAGTATTACTGCCGTGGCTAAACAAAGCGCTCAACGCCGTAGGGGAAGAAGGAACCCTGGGATCAGAATCACTGGCAGCTACCATCACGGTTCTACTTAAACCGGGGAAGGACCCATTACTATGCGGGAGTTACCGACCGATCTTGCTGCTGAATGTTGATGCCAAACTATTTACGAAAGTCCTGGCAACCAGACATAATCACCTCATTCCAGATTTAATCCACGTGGACCAGACGGGATTCATTCCAAGCCGAGAGGCCAGAGATAGTACCTTACGACTCTTCTCAATCCAACATCACGCGAGGAAAATGGGGACCGGTTGCTACTGCTATCCACCGACGTGGAAAAAGCCTTTGACCGAGTCAACTGGACGTATATGTTAACGAGATTGAGGCAACTGGGATGCGGTCAAAGACTCCTCACGTGGATATCTGCTCTGTATAATAAACTGCGCGCAACCATGAGGGTTAACGGGGCCACGACCGCTGACTTCGCGATCAGCAATGGAACCCAACAGGGTTGCCCACTCTCGCCGTTGCTGTTCGCGATGGCTCTGGAGCCACTGTTACAGGCAATTTGCCAGAACCCAGACATACAGGGATATGACTGCCAAGGAGAGCAACATAAAGTGGCTGCATACGCAGATGACCTCCTCTTCTTTGTCCGCAACCCCAGAATCACGTTGCCATGTCTCCTCTCAGAATTTGATAAATTTGGACAGATATCCGGATTTAAACTTAACATCTCCAAATGTGAGGTCCTGAACATTACACTCCCCACAGAGGAATTCCTGTCTCTAGAGTCACAATTTGCGTTTCACTGGTGCCACGGCACGATGAAATACGTAGGCATATGGGTGACCATGGACCCAGGGGATGTATTATGACACAACTTTACGCCCCTACTGAAAACCATCCTCGCGGACTTGTTCAGGTGGTCATACCCACATGTGACCTGGCACGGAAGAATCGCGGTGATTAAAATGAATATACTCCCAAGGATCCTGTGTCTCATGCAGACCATACCACTCGCTATACCAACGACTTTCTTCTCCACCCTGAAAACGGCAGTGTCTAGATTTGTATGGCGGGGAGAACGGGCTAGGATTCAACATGATGTCCCGTGCCGATCAAAAAATTATGGAGGTCTGGCGTTGT